GTAGTTGTAGTTGGCAAATCTAATCTAGGTGTGAGTATCCCCTTTAAGCATCTCAGTCCATCACATTTAGCTTTAGGAAGCGACCTAGGATTCATTTGCTGGCAAAAGCATTTTGGAAAATAGGCAATGAAAGCCATAGCCAGGAGAGAGATTGCACTGATGTAAGCACTGCAGTAATTGAAAATTATTAATTTAACTCCAACCTTCTTCCCTTAAATATTTGCTTGGCAGCACCAAAGCAGCGGATGCAGAATTTGCATTACTGCTTTGATACTATACTTCTCTGTCTGTGGTGACTTTCTGCTTAAATGTTCCTGTTATGTATGATCAATGCCACTCTGAAACACAAAATTGGAATTCGTTCATTAGGTAATGAAGAGATACCTTTTCTTTCTGCTACCAAACTTTCCTCACTTATCTTTTCTCATATTAGGACGCTGATACACATTTGGCTGGAGCATTATTTCAAATAAGCATTTCCATTTAGATCACCCTAACTAGATCAAAGACAAATGTATGAAATTGCATGGTACCAATATCTAGCAAATGTGATTTTTGTCCCAGCAAATTGCTACATCCTGCAGTGTTTCTTTCCTTGCAAAAATTTTATAGACTTTATGATGTCTGGAGCTGGATTCTGAAAGGAATTGCAAAGTTAGTAAAATAGAGTTGTCTCAGTCTAAATTTAGACTTTTTTGAGTTAAATTGCAGATCACACGCAATTTTTCCAGAGTTGGGAGATACTGTTTCACTCTATTTTTCCCTTCCTTGGCCACTGCCTGCTTTCCATACCATGGACATGTTTCATCATAAATTCATTCATTCTCCTTTTAAACTCATGCTTTTCTTCACTTAAATGCAGAGCCTGCAGTTCATTAAAGGACCTAATGCTTTGCATTCTACCAGAAATCTAATCTATACCCTCCCCATAAAACTACTCATTTTCCATGATTGTCCAGCAAATTGAATTTATCCCCCTGGTCATTGTAAGCAGAGCATTGTAAATAATTTGGCTTTCTGCCACTGATGAACGAAGAAATTTTGCTGTATTTTGTTGCTATGTGACAAGCAAAGCTTGATCTTCAGTGAGCACTTCTTATTTCTGCTCCTGAGGATGAGATAATAACATGTGCACACTCTCTATTGACCAGCTCTCAAGCTACTGAGAATATGATGAGAAGATTTCTTTCCATGCACTTGACTTTTGGCACGCTAAGATATGAATTTGATGTGTTAAGCAAAGTGGAGCGAGGCTTAGAGTAAGAGTTCAAAGAAGTTTAAGGAGATAACTGTCAAAATTGTTTTGAGAGTCACTTCAGTGTTAAAAACTTGTAAGCCTTCATTAACTGTTTCCTGCACCACAAAATAACCACAGGGGAGAAAAATCAACTTAGAAATACTGACAGCAACTTTTCCTGTGCTTGTAAATGGCTTTTTTTTTTTTTTTTTTTTTTTTTAACATGGTCAGCCTTTGGTTCAGTGCTTACCACAGAATTGCTGGGGAAGAATCAGGCTGTCTGTCTGTGCTATGAACAGTGCCGTGCCCTTGGGAACAGTCTGGCATTGCTTTTTGGCTGCACAGACCCATGGGAAAGTAATAAAAGCAGATCCAAAAGCTGCATGGCAACTGGTACAAACAGCAGTAAATAAAGATTTGAAAAATCTTGGGAGACAGCATGACTGAAATAGCAGAAGGGAAATAATAGTAAGAACTATTTGCAGCCCTTTCCATCTGAAGATACTGTGCTGCTTTACAAATATTACTTAGTCCTCACAATAAGCTGGTGAGGTATATACATATCATTTATACACATTTCGATAAAGGCACCAAATGGTTTTTTGATGTGTCTAAGAAAACCCAGACTACCAGCAGTTTATTAGAAGTTACTGTCTACCCACCTAGTTTTACAGTTCCTTGAAAACAAGAGATTTCATGTGCCAGTATCTGTAGAAGGGGCATCTCTCCACACCTGCAAGTCACCTTTGCTAAGGGTGAAGTCTGTTGCTAGCTACAGGTAGTTGTGAGAGCTTCTAGTGTAGAATATAAAAAAGAAGGTAGGATTGGACATTTGCATCCAGTTTGAGATGTAGCTGGTAAAAAATAAAAGAATGTGAAGATTGAAGGGTATCACATGCATAAATTGATTATGCTTTGTGGCAGCTGTAAATATCAAAGTTAAAATATAGTTCAGTCAGAAATAAAGACCTTATAAATAATGACATTCTTTTCTGCTTTATCTGACTAAGTCCAATTTGCTCCGGTTACAAATCAGAGCATGCCTTTTCCTAAGATATTTTCCAGCAAACTTAATCCGGGCTATCAAACTCATATCTTTCTTTTTTGCATATAGTTATTGATATCATAGATACAATATAATCAAAACTTCACAAGGCAGTTTGGACATACACTTTACCTCCACACAATCTGATTAGCTTTTGCCAGTACAGGTGTTACTTTGAAAATGCAGTAGCTTTGCTCCTTGGCGTGTCTCATGAAAGCTGACATTCAGTGTTTTCAGTAACACTTGGCTGAGAATCATCTGATTCACTGACCTCCAGAAGGTTTGCATTCTTACATCCCTTTAGAGTACATCTACATAAAAACTGCAGTTTTGGAACAGTAGTTATAAGCACACATACCCAAACCACCTTTAATCTAGGTGTCTTGACTATTGTAAAATCATAGAATCAAGGTAGCTCTGGTGGGAAAGTATCTTAGGAAGCTGCCAGTTCAATCTCCTAGTGAAGACAGGGTCAGTGGTGAGGTCAGACCAGGTTGCTCAGGGCTTTTTCTGGTTGGATTTTCAAAACTTCCAAGGTCTTGACACTACAACCTCTTTGGGAGACCTGTTCCAGTGCTTGCCTGTCCTAATGTTAATTTATTTTTTTTCCTTATAACTCACCTGAAACCCTTACGTTTCAATTTATGTCCACTGACTTTTATCCTTCTGCTGTGTACCACTAGGAAAAGCCTGACTCTGTCCTCTTGACGACCACCTTGTAGGCATTGGAAGACTGCTACTGGCATTGCCAAAAGCCATCTCTTCTGCAGACCAAACAGCCTTGTTATGTCAGGTTCTTCTTACAAAGTGAGTACTCCAGTCCCCTCTAGCTTCTCAGGCGCTCTTGCAGAACGTGTTGCAGCTAATTGATGTCTTTCCTGTCCTGGGGGTCTAAAATTGGATGTAGTATTATGTGATCCAACAAATGCTGAACAAAGGGGCATAATTACCTATCTTATCTGCAGGTGATGCTCTTGTTAATGCAGCCTTGTCTGCCAGGACCCCCAGGTGTTTTCCAGCAGAGCTGCTCCCCAGCCTAGCAGTCCTCAGTCAGTCCTCATTGCAAGGCATAGCTTGCTCTGAACTTTATCTCTGCCTGTTAGATTCTCTAAGTTTTCTGCTGGCCCTGAATGGCAACCCTGCCCTCCATAGTATTGACTAGTCCTGTAGTTTGTTGTCATTTGCCAGCTTGAAGAGCATGCACTCTTACCACTTTCTCCAGGGCATTAATGAATACAGTAAAAGGGACAGGTCCCCCAAACAGACCCCTCTGGTCTGTTTATGTGTTACTGACCTCCAGTATACACTATACATTAACCACTTTCTCTTAAGTCAATCATCCAGCCAGTTTTTTAAACGCTTTCTTGTTTACTTAACCAGACCATGATGTCTCAACTTGGTTTTGAGAACACTGTAGGATGCTGTGTTAAAATCTTTGCCATATTTGGCATGAATAACATTCACTGCTCCTCAAAGACAGACTTGTTGTTGTGGTAGGCAGTTGGGTTGGTCAGTTGTGACTGTTGCCAGTCTTCTTTTGCTTATGTGCCCAGAAATGTCTTCCAAAAGGACATGCTCCATAATATTTGGTTCCAGTCTCCTGGGAACGAAAATGAGGCTGATCAGGTCATAATTCAATGAATCACTGTTTTGGCCTTTTGAAGATAGGTAATGTATTCGCCTTTCCTCAGATACTGAGAATTCCCTGGTGTCTGTGACTTTTCAAAGATGATAGAGAGCAGCAGGGATTAGTTCTCTTGGTATCCACAGATATAGTCTGTCTAGTGGACTTGAATGTGTGGATCTTCCTCAAGTAATCTCTAATTCACTCCTTATCTACTGCAGGTGGTAATTCTTCTCCTTGAATCTTATCTCTGAAAGGGAGACCTTGTTGGTGAACGCAGGCATCAAGTACCTCAGCTTTCTGCAGTAGCTCTTTCAATTATCTAGTAGCTCTGAAAAGGCAGAATAGTTATGAAACTTCATCATTTCTTCTGGTCTGATTTTCATAGTTGTGGAGGGTTAGGCTGGGATAAGAATTCCCAATAACAAATGTTGGTTTCACCTTCAACCATGCTGCAGTTTCCTTTTCCCTTTGAACTGATTTGGTGTGCTTAAGAAGGATCATTCACTGGGAAAGCTTTGTCAGAGAGTGTTCTACAAAGGCAGCACCCTTGATGTAAGACCTTCTTTCATCCTCATTTTTTGCTGTGCATCACTGTAGTTCCCTTGCACATTACTCATCTGTATGCATCACTGTATTATTACGTGTATGATCTACATTTGAGATGATCCTAATCTCTTTAAAAATATTGATACTTGAATGTAAATAATCACTGTCATGTACCCATAGCCTCCCCATACATAAGCAGAGGCTGAAGCAAAGGTACATATACGGTGATGGTGGGAAAGCAAGTTTAAAGGTTCTGGAGTAAGCCTGCCTTCCAGCCCTTCTATTCCTCACATGCTCTGCAGTGTTTCGGTTGCTGCTGTCTGTGTAGTGACAGCGGGGTTTGCTGTATGATGGTGTGGTAAGTAACACTGATTGACTTTTTAAAGTTTTTCTGAGTCTGAATTCATATTTCTCTAAACATGTGTAGACAGAGCTCCTTAATTCCCATCTATTTTCCTTCTCTTTCTTTTATTTATGACCGTTGGTTTATGGTAAGTTTAGAAGTGTACATTTATTTTATTTTTCTAAGTCCTTTTATATTTGTTTCCCTGTGTGTATTGTGTTTAGTTAGAAGGAATGAGAAGAACTATGTCTTGTCAAATAAGGAGGCCAAGTTCAAACCAGGTCCTGAATGAATTGGTCAGATTAAAGGCTGTCTGTTTGAGTGAGTGTGGGAAGAGTCACATTTCAGTCTTCTACCAAAGACCTTGCTCTGGTGCACTGAAGGAACCCATCATCACTACTAGCACAGTTCTCTGACTTATAACTTGATTTCTATTCTAGGGATAAGGAAGATCACTGAAGTCTTTCACACTAGCAGAGAATTCATCTCTGACAAAGAGTTCCCTGACTGACTGCTCAGGAGATGTGAAGAGGCTTGAATGGATTCGGAGAAGCCAGCCTCTTTTCCACATATACTTTTCTGTAGGTTAGAAAATGACTCATTGGACAGATATGTGAAACTTTATAAAAGTGGAGGAAAAAAAAAACAGGAAATCCTATGGGTTTTCTGCTGAAAAACATTTCTGCTGTGTAAATGGAATAGTCGACAGAAATTCCCTGTTATGGTAGTTGGGCTGGTTCGTGCAACAACTGTGCTACTGAAGTGGTAGCTTCCAGTGCATGCTTGGACAAGGCTTCATGGAGACTCAGAAGTCTCCAGACATATACATAATAAAGATACTTATTTTTTTACTTCTCTTTTCAACACCTTTTCTTGCTTTTCAGAAAGATGATCAGCATAGCCAAGCATTGAATTCGAAATCTATTGGGCCACACTATATTTTATGTGTCTCTTATTGTAGGCTGTACAGATACACAGTAGGTTGGACAGATGACTACAACAGTAATGTAAATATGAGTTACAACAAGCAATTAGTTTGGATATTGTCTAGGAATCTGAAACTAAGTACCCTAATCCATATGCTGAAGGAGGACTTTTTTTTTTTTCTTCTTTTCTTCCCTTTTTTCTGAGTCTTGAGGTTAACCAGTATACTTTCATTTAGTGTGTAACATTCTGCATTTCCATCCCATACTTAACACTCCTGGAGCTGCATGCCTGAGAACTGTATCCATTGAGATTGAACAGAGAACAGATTGCTACCTTAGTAAAGTCAGAAAAACTTAAAAGTGTGAGCTGTAAGAGCTCAAAGGGCTTGACCTAATTGCAGCTTTCATTATCTGAAGGGATCCTACAAACAGGAGAGGAGTCAACTCTTTGAAAGGGTTGATAACAGCAGGACAAGGGAAAATGGTTTTAAGTTGAGGGAGGGAAGATTTAGGTTGGATGTCAGGGGGAAGTTCTTTACAGAGAGAGTGGTGAGGTGCTGGAACAGGCTGCCCAGAGAGGTTGTGGATGCCCCATCCTTGGAAGTATTTGAGGCCAGATTGGATGGGGCCCTGGGCAGCCTGGTCTAGTATTAAATGGGGAGGTTGGAGGCCCTGCCTGTGGCAGGGGGGTTGGAGATTCATGATCCTTGAGGTCCCTTCCAACCCAGGCCATTCTGTGATTCTGTGAAGTCTAGAAGTCAAGTAAGAATAAATCACTCCAATATATTAAAAAATCTGATAGATGTATTGAATCAATCACTTTACTTTGTGGGAAAGGTAGCTGACTTGTGGAGTTACACATTTGAAGTCTGTTTTTCAGTTCTGAACTGACTTTGATGAAACAGAACTGGCTTTATTTAAACTCATACACCTAGTGAAGAACGGATTGATAATGAAGAATTTCCATGTCCTCTCAATGAACGCACTTAACTGAGCAGCTATTACTAGAAAAGGTAGTCCCATATGTCATTACTTGATTAATTGCACTACAGATATGCTTCAGGGGTATCGTTTGTTTTGCTTGCCTTAGTGTTAATATGAACACAACATTCTTTTTTTTTCTTTTTTTTTTTTTTGTGATAGTATGTAGAGCATATGCTAATCTTGTTTAAAATATAAATTTGTATATTCTGCCAAGATAGACTAAAATTGGAACTTCACAAAGGTAAGCATTGCTCAAGGCTTGCAGGATTTGACTTATGGATGTGAACAACAACTTAATTATTACAGAAAATAAGGCATAATTATCATCACCTGACATTCAGTTCAGCTTAATAAAAGCTCATCTTGTACATGTGCCTAATGTGTGTGCATTAAGCTGTGTAGAGTTCCAGCTAACTCTGTATTTCTTCAATCTCTCTGTTGTCTGCCAGCAGTTTGCATTAATGGAAGAACAGCAGTGGGTTAACAACAGAAGAATTTAACAAATGGAAATGGTTGATTGTTTTGTATTTGTTCCTCAATTTTTGCAATTCAAAACTCTTTTCTTCTCCCTCCCCCCCTCCACTTTCCACAGGGCAATTTGCAAAAAGGAAGAAGACTTCACTTTGGTTCACAGTCTCTCTACTGGTGGTGTCCATTTTCATACTGACCATAGGTCTGGCAGCTACAACAAGAACAGAAAATGTTACTGTGGGAGGCTACTACCCAGGCATCATTGTGAGTAAAGAAACCTACTAGATAACTATATCAGCTGGATACAGGAAACTAACTCATAAAAAGAAAACAAAGGAAAATCATTTGTGTTGCATTTCACAGAAAGAAGATGCTTATTTGTTTTGATCTAGTTCCAGTGTGTGGTTATGCAGGGGAGTAAACACTGAATTGCCCTAAAGGGGAGGCTTTCAAGGGACACAGAGGGACCACGTTTGCACCACACAGCAATTTTCTGAACTCCTTGGCCTGTGCTGAAGGCAGTGCCTGACTTCCCAATAATTTGTTACAAATGTGGGCATACAAGGGACTACATGACAGGCATTTTTACTACCCTGATGGTGCAAAGAGTCACTCTGTTCTTCTGCCCATACACCAAGAATTCTGCTAGGTCTAGTGGAGGGAAAATGCTATTGATGGCATATGGAATCTTCTCCCTAGAGTCTACCAGTGTTCTACATCTTCTTGTACAGTCCTGGTGTGTCCTCATGAACAAGTTCTCCTTCCAGATCTTTTGTTTTTACTTTTGGAGCAGGGTGCTTAAACATATACCTGCACTGGAGATGAGGCTTATGCTGCATCTGTTTAACTTTGGAGTGCTCCTGTGTCTTCTGGGGAGGCCTTGCTGGTTCAACCCCTATGGCTTTTTCTAATCTCAGAAGTGATTGGTCATATCTAAAAGAGTGGGAAACTTTGGGAGATGAATAGTTTTTTTAGGTGAATGAACTGAATTTTAGAAAAAAAGAAAAACAAGGGCAGCAAAGTCTCTATGCCTGATTTGCTCTCCCCTAGACAGCAAGAGGAGGTAAAGGATGCAAAGAAAAAAAAGAAAAGAGGTAGGTACCAAAGAGGTACCGAATGAGGGGTGAGGGGTCTGGAGCACAGGCCTTGTGAGAAGCAGCTGAAGGAGCTGGGATTGTTCAATTTGGAGAGGAGGAGGCTCAGGGGTGACCTTACTGCTCTCTGTAACTACTGAACAGGGGCTGCAGTGAGCTTGGGGTCAGCCTCCTCTCGTGTAACCAGTGATAAGATGAGGAGGAATGGACTCAAGTTGCACCATGGGAGATTCATGTTGGATGTTAGGAAATACTACTTTCCTGAAAGAGTTGTTAGGTGCTGGAATAGGCTGCCCAGGGAGGTGGTGGAGTCACCAACCCTGAAGGCGTTCAAGGAATGTTTAGACATGGTTTTCAGAGATGTGCTCTAGTGAGAATTATTGGTGATAGGTGGATGGTTGGACCAGATGACCTTGCAGGTCTTTTCTAACCTTGGTGATTCTATGATTCTATGGATGTGTTGCAAGGTTCTTGTTCTCTGTGAAATGAAATTCCCAGAGAAGAGGGCATTTCATCTTTTAATACTGTGCATACATTTTGCATTGCCATTAATAACTTATGAGTTAGAGCTGTTCCTCCTAAGCAAGTCCTCTTACATCTTAGTGTAATGTTGAGAATAGGTCTTTCAGAAAGATAATTTTGGGATAATGACCTGTAAGGAGTGGTGTTTTAAAAATAGAACAAAAAGTAGTTCCAATAATAAGACTGTAGAAGAATGACTCTTCCTTTCATTAAACTGAAATAGATATATTAATACTGATAAAAATCTTCTGTAAATTGAATTAAAGTATTTTAGAAGGCCACATTTTCTGCATTTGTTGCCTTGAAAGGAATTTCTTTGGAAAGCTATGTTGAGTCAGTGTAAGAAGCCATAAACTCATGTGCTCAGAAAATTTTTTTTCAGCATTTAGTTTCTTTTAGAAAGAAAACAATGTCTGCTCACCCATAAAAATAAAATAATATACTAATTTTTAAATGTTAGCCATTAATATTCAAAATAGCTAGGATATATCGGAATGTTTTGAAAACAAAGTCTTTGTTATTACATTTTCCCTTCAGAAAATTGTTGGTTTTCCTAAAATCTGGAATTCTTTTTGTGCACATGCTGTCTTACTGAACAAACTGAGAAAGAGTGGTGGTTAATTGGTACAAATATTTTGCAACCCTTGTACAATATCTGGCCAAGTCAGAGGAGCTCTGCTGTCCCTCCCCTGTTTTTTGAGATTGCTGACTCCTGTGCAGCACTGACAGATGGCTATGGAAGACCTTTCAGAGCTCAATAACCCTCAAAAGGTGCTCCTCTTCTCCACGGGCAGTAAAAGGAGCTTAGAAAACTGGCATAGCACTGATCCCAAACTTCTAAATAGCTAGAGCTTGGTAAGTGAATTCCACGTTACCTATTTAATTGTTGGGCTCAAAGTTTAGGAGATCAGACAGTGTCAATTTCAATTAAAAATAACATCTAGTTCTCATAGAATTTAACAGTAAGAAACTAACTTTCAGGCTGGAAGTTGGAGCTTCTTCAACCTTGCTTCCTTATATATACTTAAATACTTCTTACCACTTATGTGTGACTATTGTTTGTATTTTTTTAATAATCTTTTTTATAATCTTTCAACCAGGAGATTGCAGAGTCCAAATATTTCTGTCATCATATTACTCTAATTTCCAGAGTTCCCAACCCAAGCAGCTTATTATCTTAACAGACAAGATAAGCAGCAAATATAACACTAAACCAATCTCAGTAATTCTGTGGTCTTATGGTATGATCTTTATCTGTGGTTCTACGCCTTCTGATTAAACTGCTATTGTTCATTATTTACTGTCTTTTTGGTGGTTTTTTTTTTTCTGCATGTGGATAATATTGCTCCACTGTGTCCACTCTATAAGCCTTAAATGGGACTGCATGGGTTTCTCTTCTTCTGATGAAAAATTGGTGTTGGAACCAGCTGTCATTTTGATGTAGTTGTGTTAATTTATGAAGTTGCTGTCCCCTGAACGCAGTGTCCTTGCTCACAGTTCCAAGTCTCTCTCTTATTCAGCAGTCAGCTCAGACATGCTTCCACACTCTTTTAGTCTCTGCTTTTCATACTTGTGCCTCCCTTTCACATAAATCTTCCCAAAACACTCAATAGCAAATCCCTTTTCCTACATTTGCCTTTTGAGGAAGAATCATGGGTTCCTGGTGTGATATTAAAATGCTTACAGGAGATTTGCTTTCTGATGTGAGCAGTTGTGCATAAGAGCAAGGAGTTCATGGGCCTCACTCAAACCCTTGGCTGGGATGCTTAGTCCTTAAAAACTTAATTGGGCTTGGAAAAGAGACTTTGAAGCTAGCACCAGGAAGGGGTTTAGACTCCTTAACAGAAAAGTCATGTTCCATCCATGGAGTGATTGTTTGTGAGCTAAGGGTATGGTTGAGAGCTTCTCCAAGCAGAGTAGAGCCATCTGTAGCAAAGAGTGGAGCCAGGAATGTGGAAGGGATGAGGTTGAGACTAAGGTGGTGGCAAAGAATCATAGTCAGGCAAAGCAGGAAGAGAGAAGCAGGAGAAAGCCCAATGGCACTAGCACTGCTGTGGCTGTTTCTAAACGTCTGGCCAGCTAGGTCTTGCCTGTGGGGCACACTTTTATTCAAATAAACATGAGCCAGATGGGAATCCTGATGCCAGAAAGCTGGAATGAAAGGCTGGTTTCCCCGTAGTCACTTTACCTCGTGTTGGACAAGAATGCAAGCAGTTTCCATCTTTCCAAACTTTCACAGGCCCCCAATAGGGAGCGGCATTTTTCTGCCTCCCTGTTTCTGAAGCAGCACTGACAAGAACAAATGCTGCTTTACTCTACCTTCCTTTCCTCCTCTCTCCTGTTATGGTTGTGACTGGTCCTTGTCTTTTGGGCATTTTAGCAGGGACTTTTTCTGTGTGATATGTGATAGTGTTTAGTCATTAAAACCAAACAAACCCAAAGTAGGGTTATGAATTTGGGTCACTTGCGTGGCAGTAATGCACCTGTTTTTTGAGGAAAACTCTTTCCTGTTAACTTAAGGTCTACATTTTTCCAAGACAATGATGTGTGGGCTAAATGTCAGTGTTCTTTCCTCCCGCATCACTTAATTTTTGCTTTACAATTTGTAAAACAACATGTGATAATGGTGACAATAGGCAGGTTATAAAAGCATATATTTTCACAGACTTTCCTTTATTAGATTACAAGTTTTAATCTGAAATATTGAAGATTTGGATTTCTGGTCATTCCGTGTTGCATTATATGATTATCCAGGGATAATATTTACCTTTTCCCCTCACCCATCCCACATAGTGGTATGATTAACCTGCTCAGATTTCACTGTTGTGGTTTAGTATGTTGACCAAATAATCTGACCTCGTATGTTTCTGTTGGTTTTGTTCTTTACCTTAGCTTGGCTTTGGATCTTTCCTAGGGATTGTTGGCATCCACCTGGTAGAGAACAGAAGACAAATGGTAAGCAATATCACTTTTTGTTCTAATTTTTTGTATCACTATGTCTTAAAAACACAAAAAGCAGAGATTTTCAGTTGACTTAAAACTGCTCCAATATGCTCCAAAATATTAGTCATTTTTTTCACATTTTCTAAGAAGCAGCTGAGAAGTATGAAGTGACCATGTTTCTATCTGTATCGAGCAAGGGATGATTTATGGGGTCACCATTTCTGACAATAAAAACCTGTGGTTTTTTTTTTGTTTTGTTTTTTGTTTTTTTAAACTAAATTAATTTCAGCTGATTTAGTGAGTTGACCCAGAGAAGGGTCAGATGTGTGTGAGTTTGGCCAGGACTGTGCAGCAGAGAAAAGGATGGGGAGGGAGGCAAAATGGATGTGATATGCCAGTTTGGGCACCAATGTGCCAGTGATCTGCTCTATCATAAGAGGCAATTTCATACTACAGAAGTTTCAATCAACAATGCTTTCCTAAAAATCTACATGTTGAAAGGAAGAATCTTGCTGTCAAGATTCCCTGACTAAATCAGACAGGATATGATGTTGCTTTGTGGTTTGTTTTATATTTAGCCTGTCTTGCAAACCCCTTGCTTTTATTTATGTGAGGAGGTCGGAAGAAGTCGTTGGGGCCATCTGGGTAAAGAAAGGTGTGTTGGACTGGGTTTGTAGAAAGTCTTAGAGTTTCCTTGCTCTCAGCAAAAAATAGCACTGTCTTGGTTGAATAAAATCATGTCCAACGTGTACTTTACAGTAGACTGATTATAGCTAAGCATTATGAACTACAATTCATTTAATAATGCAGAGCCTTCACAGGTATAAATCAAAAGAGTGATGTTAAGCTTAGAGGAAGAAATGATTGATGTACCTTACATTTTTTAACTGGTCTGTTGTGATCTCCTGTTTCCTTCTTAGTAATTCCCATCTTGATTTCATTATTTGTAGGTAAACTTATTTCATAATATCAGGGTTGGGTTTTTTTTGCATTTTTTTGAAAAGTTTAAGTGGTATACTTTCAAATACTGCTCTACTTTGCTTTTGTTTCTGCCTGGGCTTCCCAAATAAATGAGACTGATAAAGTCATGAGGTTTGTCTGTATCTTTCTCTATTCCCCATTCAGTTTTTTGAACGTGTTAAACAATTTCAGGCAAATTCAGCAGGGAGGTGGAGACCCCAGAGATGTGCAGTTCAAGTTTCATGAAAATATGCGGGTGGGCAGAGAAAAGAAGTATAAATTAGTTACCCTCTGATGCTATGGTGTTGGCTCTCCACCCTGGAAAACTAAGGATTCCAAGTGGGATGTGACCTGTGAGACATGAATCTGCAACATTGATAATTAATTTTGCTGGTAACAAAACAGCTTATTTGTTTTTTTAAGAACTGTTTTCTCTATTTGTAAATTGGAGACAAGGATGAACTTCAAGGTTCCAAGTTGCAAGCTAAAGAGAGAGGGTACATAACAATAGCACTGTCTTCCACAGCATTCATGCTACTTTACTAACAACCATAATATTTTAGGCTTATTTTATCTTTCATTTTTCCCCTGTCCTGCCTCTTAGTTCTCCAGTGCTTCTGTGTTTACCAGAAAATAAAATGGCGTACAAAAAGAAATAAGGTGGATGAGATCCTGCCAAAGCTTGTAAGATTCAATGCGTTGTATCGTTTGCACAAGGAGAGGGGATAAAACCAGTATTTTTGGTCCTGGAGCCTGTTTACATTTCCCAGCATGGAACAAGGAAAACAGCTTTCTATTAATAACAGTTATGGTCTGGCTGTTGAAACACTGTTTTGTTAGTGAACAGACCAAGAAAATAACTAGAAAGTTTAATTATGCTTGTTGTTCTGAGTATCATCCACAGTAGGCAAAGCCTTTAACACTATCCAGCTAAGGCTGAGTGGTTTGCTTTCACATGTTGTGAAATGAGTTGGAAAGGGTTTACATCATACTACAACTGAGGGCAGCAATTATTCCCTGGAGTGTGGCTGAGTACATATAATTGAAAAGGTTTAGGGCAGCTTAAACAAATTTGCAGGCATCAATAATTTGTAAATACTTAGATAAGCATAGAAATGTAATAGAAAAAATCATATTCTGGTAACTCAAAACATCACAACAAAAGAGGGCATGGAGGAAAAGGAATTGTTTACTCAGTTACTTCTTTTTTAACTGGAATTCCTTTGACAGTTACTTCTGTATAAAACTTAAACTTAACCCAGTGTAGCTCTGACAGTTTTTTGGCCCTTGTAATGAATCAATACTTCATTCTTGCTGGGTTTTTTTTAGTTGAAAATTAAAGTGGGTTCAGTTACATTAGAAGAAAAAAACCACACCTGTTTCTAATTGATGTTTTCTTCATAAATCCACTTCTAGTTTTTATCTTGAATTTGTATTTATTCGTGATCTGCCCTCTGTAAGTCTAATTTTTTTCACAGTTGATGAAATGCTAAGTGCAGTATGAAATATGTAATGGTTAGCAGAGCCGGTCCAGCAAAAATCCAGCAGTCAATAAATGTAAACACGGAGTTTGAGAAAGAATGAAAGCACACTTAGGCAGAATGGACGATGGGTTGTTCTTAAAACACAACATTAATAATGCTGCACTTCTTTGACCTTGTTCTTGGCATTTCAGAGTCACAGTGGGACTTCAATGTGCTGACCAAGGTATAACCTTTAATTTAAAGGAACTGCTACTTGCAGAATCAGGCTCTGCCTCATTGACTAGCATGATTTCACTTGAGCTCTCAGCATTCGTGCTTGCCTCTGTTATGCAGAGCTTGGCACCAGTAGAATAAAATCTCCCTTTGACTGAGGATAAGATGCCTTTGCACTGATTCAGGATGTTTAGAACTAGCAAACAGCAGAAATTGAAGCATAATGTGTTGCTGTTCCCTTTTTCCTCCCCTGTCCCCTGGCAAAGCAGGCTATGGTTTAAAGAACAGAGCATAGCTTTATGGTGCCACATTCCAAAGGCGTATAGTCCAGATGGATGTGTGCAAGATACTACAATACTTAAATCAAATGTAGCAGATTATGTGACATGAAGTATCCTTGCTTATTTGATTGCTTGCCTGCCATCTCCTCACAATACAGTACAATGTATTTCTGATTAGAAAACAAGATGCTAAAATTAGTTACAGAGGTAGGGAAGGATTAGTGTTGGTAGGCACAAATTAGTAAAATGTATGTAAAAAACAATCAGTGAGGATACCTACTCTGCTCTGTTCAGACACACTGTGCTTCTTGTTTTTCTTGCCAATCGAGCATCCTGAAAGAAACTGGCTTTAGTGCAGATTTTTGTGAGATGCTAATTGCTGACAGATTCCATACCACATATTAAGCTAATTGAAGCATCAAGATTACATGAAGAGAAATACCATTAAAATTCTGTAAACTACATAAATACACGGAATAAGTCCTTGCTGTAGAGCCAGAGGAAATGCAGATCATTTTCATTACTGAAGTAGTAAGTCTTACTGGAACTCATGCTGCCAAGAAGGTCTACAGCATTTCTCTTTTTTCAGTGATTATAGTGATTATTTTTTTGTGTGCTTATATTTCAGACTGTTCAGGGAAAAACACTTAATTTTGATGTAAAAATAATAACAACAGAATAAATTAGCAATCATCCTTATCTTGTTCAGCACCTTTAAAATAATGACAACTGTGAAGTCCTGTTACCATACTTTCAGTCATAAATGTGTGCTAGATGTTATGGTTTGATTTAACTGCACATTTTGTAACCAGACATGGAGATTTGTATACAGGCAAGCACTTCAGGTTGACAGTGACTCTTGTATGAGGTCAAGCATAGCTTGTATGAGCATGTTAACTCTTTGAAAGGGTGGATAACAGCAGGACAAGGGAAAATGGTTTTAAGTTGAGGGAGGGAAGATTTAGGTTGGATGTCAGGGGGAAGTTCTTTACAGAGAGAGTGGTGAGGTGCTGGAACAGGCTGCCCAGAGAGGTTGTGGATGCCCCATCCCTGGAGGTGTTCAAGGCCAGATTGGATGGGGCCCTGGGCAGCCTGGTCTAGTATTAAATGGGGATGTTGGTGGCCCTGCCTGTGGCAGGGGGGTTGGAGTTTCATGATCCTTGAGCTCTCTTCCAACCATTCTGTGATTCTGTGATAGCTCTTTTTTAAATATCTACATTTCTTTCATAATATAACAGTACCTTATTAGCTGATAAATTCAAGCAGCTTATTCCTTGAGAACTTCTTTCATGGAGCACCAACATCTTCCTGGTCTCTTATGTTTAGCTCCTGGACTGCTGTCATGAGATGTCCTTTAAAGGCATCTCCTTCTCTCCTTACACCTTGGAAGGAACCTTCAAAGGTGATTTAGACTAGACAATTGAGTTTTAGGAAGCTAAAGAGTCGTAAACATAATCCCATATTAAGTGATAGTTATATTTGTCTTTGGTAATCCTGAGATCACAGAAGGTACTGTACAGTAACTGCACAGTTTTAAAGCAGGGCAGCCTGTATGTAGACTGTCCAGTCTCCTTTTATCTATCAACATGGGGCAGTCTTCAATGTTAGCTCCCTTATTTGGCAGGAAGCTGCTTTGTAGCCCCTTTTTAGTACTTTTGGAGAAGGATTTTGCATGTCGTCCATCCATGGTAGTTCTAGGAAATCCCCAGTATTCCTTGTCATGAAGGAAAATTCATATGTAGAAGTAGGGCAAATAACTGGAGATGTTGTGTTATTTCAGCTGAAAAGGAGGAGGACAGGTGTATGTCTGTGGGTATGAAAGCACCTTCTAAAGTAAAGGCGAGTGAAATTTAAAAAAGGAAACTATATAGGCAATAAAAATGTGGGTAGTAGGAAAGTTACTTATATTCTATTTTAGTTAGTATGTTATGAGATATTTTTATTATTACTGAGTATTTCAAGAATGAAGGACTGAGTTAAAATATGCGAGAATTTTTTACGCCATTGTTTGACCTTGTGCATTAAAAATGATTATTTCCAATATATAGTAAATACAAATATACAACTACAGCAT